CTAATACTCAAGAGTTAGCAAGGCTTCTCTCAAAGCAGCTAAAATACAGAAATCTGAAAAGACATGATTCAGAGCTACATCTTCATTACAAGAATCTCTGATACTGCAGTGAGTGCAGCTTTGTTAAAACTTAAAGAAATTAAATAATATTTATTTTGGCTCACAACATCACAATTAATAAGAAACTTTCCCAGGGTGCAGATATTTGGCCCAGGGCTTGGTCACACTTCACTGCACCCAAGTTCTTGGACACTCAGAACATAAACAGTCCTCTGAGGTGAAATGAGAGTAGCCTCTTATTGGACTGCTCATATATTTAGATACTTTAGCATGATAAGCACACAAGATAATTTAGAAGGGAAGGAGGGCATCAAAGAGAAAATTCTCCTTCTATTTCTACCTTAGGTTTGACTCTGTTGCCCAGTTCTGCAGAAATCATCCAGAATTTCTGTTAGCAACCAAAACGACCCTGTGCACACAGAAACTGTGGGTGTGTGGGCAGGACAGTGGGCACTGATGGCAGTCCATAAAGTAAATGAGAAAGCCCCACAAATGACAATCATTAAGACTTCCTGAATATTCATTTATAATTTTGGAAGGAAAATAAGAGGGAAATAAGCCAAATAATCACAAGTTCCCAAATATACTTACAGCACACAAGCAGAGATAAACCTGGAGATTTCTTTGCTAACACACCGATTCTGAAGGTTCATGCCTATATCATTTTAGAGCCAAAACCAGACTTCTCATCAAGGGCTACAGCTTCTGTGGAAGATGTTCCTTTCTGCATGAAAATGAAAACTGGAAAAATGGTTAAAGATAAATGAAAAAAAAAATCAAGTGCAAACAGTAGTTTCCAACAGAATTTGCTAGCCAGATCAGTTTTATAGAGCTCTTTGTGATTAACATTTCTTGTGTGCAAAGGATAAGGAATTTCTTAGAAAGCATTTCAGAAAATATTTTTAATATTTTGTGCTTGTTGTGAAGAGGAGGATCTCACTTCTATCCCATGCAAATGCTCAGAGATTTCCCGTCAGGCCATAGACAGTAAACAGAATGACCACAGTACATGGTGTCTTTCTAGGCAGCATCCATGTGAATTGTACAGTGCAGCTGCTCAGTTTTGGTAGTGGGAAGGAGTACTGGGTCTGGCTAGGATAGACCTGATTTTCTTCACAGCAGACCTTATGGTGCTGTCTTTTCAGATTTCTGATCACAGCTGGGACAGGTGACCCAAACTGACCAAAAGGATATTCTGTGCCATATAATGTCATGCTCAGCAATAAAACTGGGGAGGGAGGAAGTTTTTCCAAAGTACATGTTGCTCAGAGACTGGCTGGTGATCTGTCTGCTTGGTGGGAGGTGGCAAGCATTTGTCCTTGTATAATCTCTTGTGTTTTTTTCTGTTTCCTTTCCTTATTCAACTGTCTTTATCTCAACCCACAAGTTTTTCTTGCTTTTGCCCTTCTGATTCTCTCCCCCATCATGCTGTGGAGGGAGGGAGTGACTATATGGGGGCTTAGGTGCCAGCTGGGGTCAACCCAAAACAGGAGATAAGACTTGGGCAGCAAAGGAGACAAATCTGTAGGCAATCAATGACCTTTAGTTCTGTTACTCCCCCAATTATTTTCTGTTGTTTTCAAATCTCAAAATAAGTTCCAAACCAGATTAAAATAATCATTACTTTCTTTGGATATATACAAAGATTCAACAAGGCTAAGTGTGCCAGGGGAGGTTTAGATTGGATGTTATGAAAAATTTCTTCACTGAAAGGGTTGTCAAGCATTGCAACAGGCTGCCCAGAGAAGTGGTTGAGTCACTGTCCCTGGAGGGATTTAGAAGACCTGTAGACATGGCACTTAGGGACATGGTTTAGTGGTGGACTTGGTAGTGTCAGTGACGTGTGGAAAGCAGACTCCACAATCTGTAAGATTGTAAAGTAGGTATGTTTATTCGGCACCGGGCAGCACGGGGGGTAGTCCCACCAAAGTCGTGCGTGCAGAGCAGCAACGTGTCTCTTCAATTTATACAATCAAATATTGCATATGCATTAGATTTCCCAATACACCTATACATATGCATCTATCCTCATTGCATATCAAAATTAGTTCCGAGAAATAATTTCATATACTCGTCCCAGTTGCACTTGCGCAGTGCCTCCTGGTGGTGGTATTTCCATATACTCCTCCCAGTTGCACTTGCGCAGTGCCTCCTAGTGGTGGTCGTCGGGGGTCCCAAGATGAAGGCCCATCCTCTTCATCACGGTGTCCGCTGATTGACCTTTGTTTCTGCGCAAACTCAGTTCTCTCCTGGCTCCCATCCATACAGCAGGGTCGGTCTTGACTGCTTCTAGTCGACTCCCAGCCCCTATCAGGAACTAACCCCTTTGTATGGAGAAGCAAGACTCTCTGCTTCACTTAATTTAGACAATAGATAAGCACTATCAGTTTTTTAAATGCACAGCAACTATTAGGTAACGCCACTTGTATTAAAATCCCTTTTAACCCCTTCCTTCATCAGGATTACAGTTGAACTCAATGATCTTAAGGGTCTTTTTTCAACCTAAATGATTCTATGATTCTATAATTATATATATGTATGAGGGTAGATACATGTGTGTATATATACATGTATGTATAGTTGTGCATATAGACGCACAAAAAATTCTTTTAACACTATGTAATCAATAAAATCTGTTCATGAAGATTATTTGTATTAAATATATATCTACTGAGATAAAGACCAAAATTAAAACTAGGTCCTCTGCATTCTGAATAGTCTGTAACTACCTATCAGGAAATAATCCTTTCCTCAAACAGCTGAGTAGGCTGACATGAGCTTAAGACGCTTCAGAATTTTCACATGCAAAAGCTCAGAATGGCCCAACATGTAATTAAATTGAGCTTCTACCAAAAAGCAGACCAGAGGCCTGCCCCTGTGTCACTCCAGCTGTGGGCTGAGTTTCCTCAGTTACATTTAGTCTTGCAGAGCTCAAGTGCAGAGACAATGAAGTGGTGGTTTTGAAAATGTGGTCTCTGCAAAAGACATCTGCAATCACATGGGGTAGACCTTGTCATTGAAAAAAGTGCATGGCGGGGCTGCAAGCAGGAAAGGAGCAAACATCGCTGCACTACATGAGTGTTCAGAGATCACAGAGCAAGTTGGGGCAGACACTACCTGAAGGCTTCTGTTGCCTTTGTCAAGAGAACAGGCATCAAATTGTCAGGAAAATGCAGATTTCAAACCATCAATCCGCTAGGAACAGCCACCAATATACCATGAAATGCCTCACAAAAGCAGTCATAATGATATAGGAAGAATGAGCAGTCCTTTCACAAGACAGCAAATAGCTCTATTTGAGTGGCTACCAAATGCATCCATTTCACTTTCCCACTAAGTAACTAGGGAGAACATCTGCTCTCTCTGACACGTCTTCACAAAATCCTCTTCCTGCCTTCTCATGGGACACACAGGAATTCTTCCATTTTCTACAAGAGTCTGTGAGAAGACAAATCTCCCTAACTTTTCAGAGACCAAATTACACAAAGCTATGCTTCTGTATCTGGCTCACAGGCCTACCAGGGCCTAGGGAAAGGGGATGGGTTTGGTGAGAGGAAGGGCTGACTTTAAAGTCACAAGCCTTTACCTGCTCCCACTAGAACAGAACTTGCCCAAGGGCTTTCACAGCTCGGCTGCACCACTCACCTCCCAGGCTGTGACTCATTCTTGCAAGGGAAGTCCAGTCGCCCCAGCAGTCCCCAAACCAAAAGTGGAGGGACAGACAGTTTGGGCAACTCTTGCACTCCCTCAATTACTCACTTCACTGGAAACACTGATTAACAAAGGACGAAGGACAGTGTCAAACAATCGCTACACTGCTAGTGCACACTCACAGCAATGGCCATATCTGTCTTTCCCCTTGGTGTCCCCTTCAAGACATTTGCCACTCTCAGTTTTGGAGCTCCTGAATCACAGCTGTTAAACAGCTACTGAAACAAGGAATGAAAACTTCTTTGGTCCCTAAGCACTGGGCAAGCCTTTCAATTGACAGGAAGATGCCACAACAGATACCGGTGTTACAGGCTCCGCTGATAGCAACTGTCATCTGTTATGCCATTTGCCAAGGTGTTTGCCTATCTGTTCTTTCTACAGGACTGCACACCGTTTTCCTTCCCAAGCTACCTAAAACCAGCACGCTTACATGGCCTACGCCTGACCCAGACTCTGTAAAGGACACAGCGTTTGCCATCTTAACCCAGACCAACGCTGCCGACTCGCTGCTCTGCAAAGCCCAGGACAGCAGGTTCACCAGGTGGGTACGTTTAGTACTGTGCAAAGGTCCTTTCCACACCTCCAGTGACCTGATCCCAACCAGGCATTGAGGCTCCCAGGAAGTCACGAACAGCCTGAACCAGCGGCAGACAGTTTGTTTTACCCATGTCACAGCGCCTTTGCAGGCACCGGTTTACACTTGGCCAGTGCCTGGTCCACCTTGGGTGAGGGCTACAGGATGGGCTGGCACGACGAGAAGGTGGCCAGGTCCCAAGGAGAAGTACAGCTACGCTGCTCTGCGTGCCAGCCGCTGTGCTTTCCTGTTGCTGCCTTGCTGGCTTTCTCCATCCCTTTGGAAAGTCACTGCTGAGCACAACGTCCCCAGACTACCCACTGCTCAGGCTAAATTCATCATTTCTCTGCTTCTGGTTGGGTCAGGCAGCTGACAGGCTCCACTGAGCAGGAAAAACGCACCAGGGACCGTACACGTAGGAAACGACACACAGCACACTTCCAACACGCAGCAACGTGACTTCACAGGTATACACACGGCTTTCCTGGGAGCTCTGCAGTTGCACTCTCTTCCACACCTTGACGTGGTGATGCTGCTGTGCTCAACAGCAAAAACCATTCCAGATAAGCACATCAGCGTGTTTCATTCCACTCACTCCAAGCTTGGCGTTTCCTCTAGTTTAACACGCTTTTCTTCCTTTCCAGACCAACACACCATGGAAAACCAAACCACAGACTTAATCGACTGGCCACTGACAACAGAATTCGACTACAGCGATTCAGCGCCATGCATGGGAACTGAGGAAAAGCACTTTGCAGCAAAACTTTTGCCACCACTCTATTCTTTGGTGGTGATATTTGGCCTCACAGGCAACATGCTTGTTGTCTTTATCCTGATAAAATACAAGAGATTGAAGAGTATGACTGACATCTACCTGCTCAATTTGGCAATATCTGATTTGCTGTTTATATTTTCTCTTCCTTTTTGGGCTTATTACGCTGTTCACGACTGGATTTTTGGGGAGGCGCTGTGTAGAATTCTCTCAGGTGTCTACCTGCTTGGCTTCTACAGCGGGATCTTTTTCATAATCCTGTTGACCCTAGACAGGTATCTGGCCATAGTGCACGCAGTGTTTGCTTTAAAAGCTAGGACAGTTACCTACGGCATCCTCACCAGCGCTGTCACTTGGGCTGTTGCTATTTTTGCTTCCATTCCTGGGATGGTATTTCACAAAACTCAAAGGGAAAATTCACGTTATACTTGCAGTGCTCATTATGAAAGCGATACCACAATAAATTGGAAGTACTCCTACATTTTAAAGATGAACATTCTGGGACTTATTGTTCCAATGTTCATTATGATTTTCAGTTACTCACAAATTCTAAAAACATTATTGAGATGCAAGAATGAGAAAAAACAGAAGGCAGTCAGACTTATTTTTGTGATCATGATTTTTTACTTCATCTTTTGGACACCGTTCCATATTTCTTCTTTCTTGCATACATTCCAAAGTTTACTTTTCAACCCAAATTGTGAAATCAAAGGTCAATTGGAGAAAGCAATCCAAGTGACAGAAACAATCTCAATGATCCACTGTTGTATCAATCCTGTGATCTATGCATTTGTTGGAGAAAAATTTAGGAAGTACCTTTATACCTTTTTCCGAAAGCATATTGCAGCCCATGTCTGCAAAAAATGTCCAAATCTTTATCGTGAAAAATTAGAAAGAGTTAGTTCCACCTTCACACCATCCACTGCAGAGCATGACATCTCTACTGGACTGTAAAAATACATCAAAACATTAGTTAGTAAATGTTGCATCGCTCGCTTTGCCTTAAGGACTGCCTGACATTATTGAAGATCTTTGTGTCAACCACTACGGAAAACTGCATGACCCTCAATTCTTGTGTTTAACTGTTCCCTGGGATTACAGAATTTTGCATTCTTAAAATAAGAGAATCAGTGAGTTCTTCAGGAAAAGTTAACACCATAGCTGGATCACATCAAGATTTGAATGGGGCCCAGAACAGCATTATTCTGTTTCTTGACCCAAATTCTGTCCAATGAATCACTGCTAGTGAGATTTACTTGGGGAGAATACAACACTGAAGAGACTAAGGAGTAGTATGTCATCCCACAAGAACTTTTTACTGCTATGTGAACATTTTAAGATAAACACTGGGAGGAAGCTTTGAGGATTGATGTACCTGTTTAGTATTCGGCATTAACAGAACACCTTTTGGAAGTGATTGTATTCTTTCAGTAACATGGTCAGGCATTTGATAGGGGGATGCTTTCAGTTTTCTTCATTCCCCCGTCTCCCTAATTTTCCCTAAATTAATATATAATGTTTCCAGAAAAAGGAATTTGAGGATGAATATGAGCCATATCAAGATAACATCCCTCCTTTGATGGGAAAGTTGACTGACCTTTATCTTACTGGGGCCATTTAACCCAAGGATTTATCTGTTAGCTAATAGTGTAGTCATTTTTAAACACAATCATATTGACTATAGGCTAAGTTACAGCATTTTGATTTTAGTTCTTTAATTTTATGTGTGCCATATCACTGTTCAGTTGCTAACATTTTCCAAAGTGGGATTTTAATGGGCGACATTGTGATTTTTGTGGGTGCAATTTTGCAAGTAAGTGTGCACATCAAGTCTACTGACTGCACAACAAGACAACATTGCACCCCCAAAAAACATGAGCTTTTTCTGACAAATCATATCCCTCCAAGGAAAACAGGACTTAACCAATAAAAGCACCTCAGTAAAGATCTGCAAGGCCAGAATGAAAATTATCTTGGTATTCGGTATGCAAGATTCTGTATGAGAAAAATATCAGGACCCTCTGAAGGATTTTGGAGACCATGAGCACAGTAACGAGTGGAGGCCTCCCTAGTTATGGACAGGTAAATCGTGTGTGTAGAGGAAGACTTTATGTGGCAGATGCAGTAAGTGTGTCAGGCTAGGCTCCTGCCTGAGAAAACCATGCTCTTCACATACACAGTAACTGTGATGTTTGGGGTACACTTCCAGGCAAATAGCAGCCTTGGAACTGCAAAACCAGCCAGCTGCACAGGAGACATACCCACCTTGCCTTCCACGGAGAACAGTGTCCACAGCTGACTGGTGCCTCAATTAGAACTGCATGCTAGTTGAAGACTTGAGACCATCAGTCTACTGGTGTCCTATGGCCATACATCTATGCCATTATTAGGAGTTTCCCTGTGAAAGAAAGTGGTATTTGAGGGGCATAATGTTAGCAAAGAAGAGGAGGGAGGGGCGTAGTGGAGAACTTCTTGCTTCAAACTGTAAGGAAGTGCAGGTGAGCACTCCTTATGCAAGTGAACTGTCCTGCTTTTTTCCCCCTTTGCTTCAAAGCGCACCGCTCATGCAGGTAAAGCCTTGTTCATGGAAATCTGGAGGGGCAGGTTCAACTGGCCTCCAGGAAAGGTAAAGACACGAGAGAGGATTCCACACTACTTAATATTTGGCACGTGACTCAGAGGCCTAAATTAACAGCAAATCTCTTTGAGGTCCCTCAGTGGTCAGTAGAAAAAAAGAGATGGCCGAGTCAGAAGCACACATATGCTTTAAATAGCATCTGGGGAAGATTACCTGTCCAACTGTAGAGGAAGCCTGGAAATGCCAAGCCTCCTAATTTAGGTATCAGATGCCTTAATCTAGGTAGTGCAAATACTTCTCACCCTCTAGCCTTATAACATCAAGGCACTGCTTCTGTTAGTTGTTAGCTTTTATCCTACCAGCTAGTATAATCTGTCCACTACCTTGTGAGGTTAATAGCCACAGACAGACTGAAGAAAAGACCAAAAACTATCCTCATAGTAAACTTTCTTGCTTGGAAATAATATTTTTCCTTTCTTTTGTACTTTTTTACTGCACTAAAGTGAAAGCACCTTTTTAATATTAAAGTGTAAATTAGTTCAGTGCGATACACATTCTGCTGTAACTGTGCTATTTCTACTGCTGTGTTTTATTTTAAATTCTTTTCTTGTTGGAATGACACTTCTTCCTGTTTTCATGGTAATGCAGTGCATCTAATAAAATCTGTGTCTGAAAAACAATGTATACCCTGTAGCCCATGTTCTCCTCCTAAGCAAAAGGGCATCAACTCTGCTGTCAGAATGGAGGTTGCAAAAAGATGTAACTATGGACTTAAACACTCGCAATACCACTCTCCAGCAAAGCGAACCAAACTGAACAAGCAAAGAACTGTCTGCCCAGTCCAAAAGCTACTGTAGCTGGCATGGCTTTTATCCACTTACAGGCCTGAGAAGAGTGCATTAGAACAGCTTCAGGAAAAGTCTGGGGCCACAGATTTTAGATGAGTGAAATCTGACAGGAGAAACAGGGGTGTGTGCAGGGGAACAGGAGGAAGAAAGAAGAGCAATAAAAGATGGCACTCTGAACATTGTGATGAAGACAGGATTCTCCATAGGCTATCTGCAGCTAATTTCAGATCTCCTTGCACTGCGTAGAGTAACCCCAGCAACACGGTGTGCCTGATCTCCCAAGTTTTAAATGTAAGCAACTCTAAGCATTCAAAGATCAATATGGAAATATGCTTCTGCTTCACCACGTCATTCTTCCTGTTCCACTGTCCCAATTCCTTTTTTCAGCCTACGATCCACACCTTCACTTCTCCACTGCATACTCTTTTCATCTGTGCACAGTGGGGTAGGCTAAATTCTATACCCACTGCCTTTGTTTTCCAATTTGCATTTTCTGTTTTGTGCTGGCAAAACCTAAAGATTAAACACTAAACATAAAGATTACCTTATTGTTATGTTATGTGCCCAGGCAGGATAATCCTTGATCCTTCACTGTAGCTTTGCACTGAGACAAAGGCTCTAGCTAGTTTTGCGGCAGATTTTGAGTCTTAATCAGTCAGATGTGGCTGCAGGCTGGTATAGTTACAGGCCAGGTAGCTCCAAATAAGGCTAGCAGGACTGCACACAGTCTGGTCATAGTGGGATGGAGCTACCCATGGGGAAGGTTTAACCAGATCCCCAGTCCCCATGAGAGAGAACACAAGTCACCTCAGCAGAGAGGTGAAGGAAATTTTACATATGGGAGACAAATATTCCATAACTCAAGCTCTGCAAGGAAAAGCACTGAGATGAAGATCCAGTGCATATGTAAGAGCTAGAGAGGCGGTCAGATACACAGAAACTGTGCAATGAACTGAAGGTACGTTAAGAAAATGGCAAGGCACACCGGAATTGAAATTACAGTAGAGAAGAAGCTAACACAAGGAAGAACCATTTCAGTGCCTGGGAGGCATCTTAGCTGCTCCAGTGAGATACTGAGGAAACGAAAGCAAGCATTTGTGAGAGCGTACGAGTAGCACCAGAACACCAAAAAAAAATTCAAGACAGGAGCTCTGTGAACACTTCAAGTGAATTGTTGCTTTATAACAAATGTTGAACAGCTACGTGGAAACCATTACAAATTCAAAATTTTGGGCACTGAACTTCTGAAGAGATAACGCATTGACTGGGCTTTCAGCATGCTTATGAAACGAACGCCCAGGTGCCATGGACAAATATCTATGCACAGCCCCGAAAAACAGTTTAGTTTATGCACAGGACAGGATAGAGTCCGACCTTCCTGTCAGGACATGCTGCTGTCACATGTTCAGAAGCATGTGGGGAGGAACACAGCAAAAGATAACTCTGCTGACTATCAGGCAGACTTCCTAAGAGGCAAAAGGAAATGTAGCAGAAGTGCATATATGGTATTGGTGAGTGCTGAGCAGTACACACAACCAACCACTAGACTTATAATCACTGCCATTGGTTTGTCTGTGGTAATTATATAATGGACAAACACAGAAAAAGTGAAACTTCTGGTAACCAGTGCATAGGGATGTTCCTGTCATACGACTTTCTTGTTTGTTAACCCAACTGTGACCTTATGTGTACATATTTTAGATAAGATAAAGGTAAATGGAGTATAAAGGAAGAGTAAATGAAAATGGATAAATATGAAAAACTAGTGGCAAAAACTGAAAGAATTACTTTATCAGCTTTAACAGAGGCTAATAAAGTAATAGCCAGAGTAATGGGAAGATGAGAGACAAATACTTTAAGTAGAATGTTAAACGATTTAGGCGAGTAAGAGGGACTTTCAGTTATGAAGCTCCAAAATAAATATCACTCCTTCCAGTGAAAACTACAAAAGGGATAAATACAAAGAACATAAGAACAAATTTACATGGTATCTTGTTCCAGCTAACAAAAAACAAAGAAATGAAGTACCAGGAGAATGACATGATGTTGACCAGGGTGAACAGCACAACAGGCAGATACTTCTCATTTTGAAGTTTAATTTTGCTGCTGTTTTCAACCGTTGATGCCTACTGGCTTTCTCCTAGTGACTGCTGTGGTTCCTGTGGTCTTAGAAGCATTACACCTTAATATCACAATAAAAAAAATTAAGCTAGCAGAGGAAACAAAACCAAACCAGCAAATTCTGGCACATTAAGAATATCAATAGCAATCGGGCCAAAACAAAGAAGGATGTTTGTCTAGCAAGATGGGGCGAAGGCATTGCTTTGTACCCATATTTTGGTGACACTTGCCTATCAGGAGCTCTACTTCATTCAGAAAATGGAATGGTAGGGAAAAGAAATGTTGTACAAATTCGTGTATCTGCCAAGCAGTTTTGTAACACCCGTGATAGTGAGAGCTATCTTGGTTTGCGTGTTTTAAGTCTGAAATGACTGATACTGAGAAGGCGGGGCCACAACACTGAACTG